ATCTTTAGGATGCTTGGTGGTTAGGTGTTGACTTTATAGTGCTGGACCCATCTAGGACTAAATTGACGTGTTCAATCGGTAGTATAATGACATCATCACAAATCAAGAAATCAGGAAGCAAAATCTTAGACAATAATATTTATCGTGATCTATGTCTCGTGTCCATAGGATATCTTGGAGAACGAAGGAATATTTGATCACTTATCTTAGGGCCAATTTCTGATTTGAATCAGAGTTTTGTTGTTTGGTTCAAGGTTATACTTATAATTTTAGTTATAGACTTATCCAAGTAAGAGACTGTTGGATTAAGGTGTTTAGGATCATAATTAAATTGGTATATACTTGTAATTAGAAACAAAGTTATTTTTAGGTTTCCCTCATAACTAGAACTTGGTTAGAGTGATAGTTGTAGAGAGATGATGATTCATTGATTTATCATATGATTAATAAATTGTAATCAATGATTTGTTAATATACTGTGTGCTTAATATATTAATTTAAAATAGTAATAATTAATTAAGAATTAATCACAAATTAATTAGAATTAATTTTGTGATTAATTAGAATTAATTGAGAGTGAAAGGGCTAAGCTGTAATTGCTTAATACTTGAACAAAGGACAGGTTCTAGAACGTTCCTAATGGGGATGGTTTTAGAGACGGTTTATTAGAGTTTCCGGAAGCTTCTTGATAATAAGGAAACTAGATAACCACCTGGATTTGAAATAATAATATTATATATTCAAACTAGAGTTTCCAGGGTTTCATAAGTTGGTATAAATAGGACCCTATGGTCTCTTATTTTCGCCACTCCTTCTATTAGAAGAATGGTTGAATTCTTGCTTTTGTCTCCTCTCTCCTAAATTATCTTTTAGTTCTACGTTTGGTTTTGAAAAAGCAGCGCTTTAGACCATGATTGAAGTGATGTGTTTGCTACAAAAAATCTAAGGTATGTAACCCTAATCCAAGCTCTACAAAGGAATGATTGAAGTGATGTGTTTGCTACAAAAAATCTAAGGTATGTAACCCTAATCCATGATTTCGATTATCATAGGGTTTATATTATTTTTTTTTCACGATATGTTACCTTCAAAGTATTATGACATAGATCCTTATAGGTTGCAGTTGTCCTTCTTAATTGTTAAGTGATTTTCCGCATTGTACATGTTGTTATAACTTATAAAACTCGTCACTTAGAGCCATCACATTTGTTGTTCTTGTCAGCATAAGAGCTTTCACCTTTGTAGTTTTCAAAACTCCCACCATTGAACCTTGAATTACCACCATTTCTCAAACCAAACTTGGAAATTTTTTTCTTCGAGAACTTTTTGGGATTGCTAACTATCAATGCCTTCTCTTTACTTGTCCATTCATCATCTGTTGCATCTGAATCTGAATCTATCACAACTTTCTCTTTTGATTTCTTCCCTTTTGAGAGTTCCTCCTTCACAACCAATGCTAAAGGACCAGCATCATTGATCGACTACACACCTTTAGTTACTTCATCTTCATGTGATTTTAAAAACCCAATAACTTGCAACAACGAATAAGACTTGAAATGTCTGTGAGCTTTTACCATTGAAACAATCAAGTTGTATTCATATTGGAGTCATTGCAAGAATCTCACGTTCTTTTCTATATCCTTTTGATCTAAATAATACTTCATAATCCGACTCAACAAATGATTGTACTTTTCAGATGCTTGATCAATACCTTCACCATGTTAGTGTTTGAATTAACCATACTCCGAACATAAAAAAGTTTGAATAGAGTGAAGTTTATTACTATCAAATACCATTGTTTCAAACGATTCCATATATCATGAGCCATTTTACATGAACTCACCAAACGAAATGTATTCGGAGAAAGATCAAATCAAATTTCTTTTTTCGCTTTCAATTCATTTTCAAGTTTTTCTTTCTCTTCCTTGGCCATGTCAATATACTTTTCACGAAGTTGTTCATGCTCCCTGAGAGAATTAACATGTTCTTTCATCTTCGAGAACTTATATGGACCTTCAGTTATTGATTTCCAAATACATGAACCATGCTTCTTAATGCCATAAATGTAATCTTCAAAATGAAGCACACATACTGCATAATCATTAGGAAAATAGTAGGAACTCTGGTATTTGAACTAATGTTGATTGACAGATTGAATGCAACGATATAAGAGTCATGTTTTGCCATGATATCAGAAATTTTAAACAATAGATCAAAGTATAATATGCAATTCAAATCAAAATAAGTTTTCGATGAATGAATTCTAGATCAAAATGCAAACAAATTGCAAATATGGAAGGGATCTAGAAAAATAAAAAATGATGAACGAAGAACTTGACGAACACAAGAGAATTCAACGATTTGAATTAAACTCAAAGATTTCCTGCTTTGATACCACTTGTAGGATCGATTTACTAATTTGAAATGTATGAAATCATGATTGGATTAGAAAAATGATAACAAGAGAATGTAAATAATTTTTTGTTTTCAATTTAGAGTAAGAAATCTTAGTTGCAACTTTTAATGTAAGAACTAGCAAAAGACTTACTATGGATGTCAACGGGGGCACATGGGACGAGGAATGCATCCCCCACCCCCGCCCCGAAATAGCCAGCCTTCCTACCCCCGCCCCCGCCCCCGAATCCCCCTTATTACCCTCGTGCCCGTTCCCCCGCCCCCGATTGATTTTGGGGTGCCTTTTAGAGGCTAAAAGAAATCGTTGTTTGGGCTAAAAGAATATATTTTTTAGGTAACAAATATTTATTTATAGCAAAATTTTTCATGTTAAAACGAACAAACAGACAAACAAACAAAACAAAGTTATGACATCTTAAAAACATTATACTAACAACATAAAAACATGTTTTTTGTTGAATTTTAGAATCTAAAAATCATGTTATTATTTATTATATTTATATAATTAATATATGTAAATATATGCTTAATTTATTAACGAGGGCCCTATAGGGTTTCGGGACGGGACTGCCCATCCTTGCCCGCGCCCCCGAAATTAAAACGGGGGTTAATCTTGCCCTTGCCTTTGTCCCCGCCCCCGGTTTTTTTTATAAATGCCCCCAAATTGGACGGGGCCTTTACGGAAACGAGGTCCACGAGACTTTCTGACATCCCTAAGACTTACTTTACCTTCTAACTAACGTCTCTATTCATATGTTGACAAAAAGGGAGTCGGTTAGAGAATAATCATTAAGGTCATGACACATAAACAGTGACACGTGATACAATCAATAATGCTTAATCACCGAAACATAAGATGTTTGCATTCTAAAACCTAACAGACTATTGGAACATTACATTGAAGACTAAAAATTATAATGAAAGCTTTCACAATAGACTCCGAGACAGCACATACAAAACTCCAAAAAAATAACAATAATACTTGAAAGGTTATAGCCGAAATAACTTAGTACTAGATGTAGAAAATGAAAAGTTGAATTTAATTTGATTAATTATTGTATATCAGTAATGTATGTAATTGTTGTTTTTGTAGTGTGTTATGCTAACTAGATTACTCACTAATCTTGTAAAGCTTACACTCTATTATGATCATGATGTGTTGCTTCTTAGAACCAAAGTAATATTAATAGAGGTAAGAGTGTAATTGAAGGATAGAAGACTACTATAGTGTTGGTATAGTTTTTCGCTTTGTTATAAAAACTTTGTAATTCCCGGTTCGATCCTTGGAATTATGTTTGGTTGTACATTTATCTGTTGGATTTACATTTGTTCGTCTGAATAAGTCATACAAATGAGAATATATGAAAGCTAAAAGGTTGTTTAATGTTTGAAATGAGTTCTAATTAGACTAGAATATCAAGTCGATGTCCCCAAATTTGATACAGATTAAGATTAAACCTCTCTAAAAATGAAAGATGGCTAAGGTTTGGTGCAAGGAGTTGGGTATGATGGAGAGGGGGGTTGGGGTGGACCTATTTTTATTTATTTTTAATTATAAAATAGTACAGTGAATATTAAAAATAAAAAAATAATAATAAAAAACAAAAGCTTGAAAGGGTATAATGTTACAATAGATGTAAAAATAATCTGAAGGGGTATAATGTCAATTTTAAACTTGACATGGATCATATATATGAAATTTATACTATTTTAAATGTTTGATTGATTACGGATTTCCGTTTAAAACTAATTAGACATCCCTATCATGCTAAATTAAACCTTGTGAGTGATACATGACATATGTTTATGAATAATGATGAAATATGTCCTTTTCTTAGTATTTTCTTTTATTTCATTTGGTATAAATCTAAAAAATTTAGGAATTTAAAATTTAATTTCAAAATTTTCCGGTTAATTTTTATAAAACACTTCATTTTCTTACTATTTTGGTCATGTTTTTTAATTCACTTAACATAAATCCCAAAATTTATGGAGTTTAAAATTAAATAGCAACTTATTTTTGTAATTTTTCATATTGCGATTTAAACATATTCAAATCAAAAAATTTGATACATAACATTTTGACAAAACTTCAAAAATGGTCATTGTGGTTTTCGAAAATATCAAGTTTAATCCTTAAGTTCAAAAACCCTCACAGATGATCCTTATGATTTCAAAACTTTTAACAAATGATCTTTCCGCCTAACTCCGTCAGCTTTCTACCGTTAAGTGAGGGGCATTTTCGTCATTTCAATATACAGGAACCATTTATGAGATTTCTCTATTTAAAAAAAAATTATATAATTATTTCACTAAAGCCCCCCCCCCCTCTCTCTCTCTCTCTCTCTCTCTCTCTCTCTCTCTCTCTCTCTCTCTCTCGATGTGATGAAGAACATAAGTCATGGCGGCATGGAATTAGTGGCGACGCTGCTGCTCTTGCTTATGTTAAACCGGATCGTCCTTACTTCGTTCATCAAAGGTTGTTCACTGCCTTTGATGACATATACTGTTTGTTCATGGGGAGTTTGAACAATCTCTGCTCCCAAATCAAACAATACGGACTGTAAAAGAACACCAACGAAGCCATGTTCGTGATTGAAGCTTATCGGACGCCACGAGACCGTGGGCCTTACCCTGCCGATCAGGTCATCAAAGATCTTGAAGGAAGTTTCGCATTTGTTGTCTACGATAGTAAATCCGAAACTGTTTTCACTGCACTGGTAAACTTCCATATTCATGGTTCACAAGACTCTGATTTTCTTTTTACTTTGTCTCACCTACCAATTGTTCGTGAAAATGCCTAAATGAAAAATATATATATATATAATTACAGGGTTCAGATGGAGGAGTACATTTGTATTGGGGAATAACTGCAGATGAATACCATGGAAACACTAAAATGGAAGGGATAAACATTTCACAGGAAGAAGACAAGCCTTTGTTCAAACTGAATTCGGATGTGTCTTAGGAATGGAGCTAGATCAAAGTGATAATGCTTATACAATCAAAAGAAGGTTACAAATAGCTCTCAGTCTCCTAATTGAAAAAAGTTCTTTAACTATTGGAGACATGGTTTTAAAAATCATGATGAGATAAAAGGGAAGTGGGGGGATTTTTTCTAGAGTAAGAAGAAGAATGGAGAAGAAGAGAGAAAGGGGAAAAGATGAACGAAGAGAGAGAAAGGGGGGGGGGGTTAGGGGTGACCAGACAGTTGAATCTTTTGAGTTTTCTTGGGATGAACACACAATGAGAGAGAGATAGAGAGAGAGAGATGAGTGGGACCCCTTGCATATTTAGTTATTTATTTAAAAAAAAGCAATAGAAAACCTCATAAATGGTCCCTGGGTAGTGAAATAATAGAAACGCCCCTCACTTAAAGGTAGAAAGTTGACGGAGTTAGGCGGAAGGACCATTTGTTAAAAGTTTTGAAACCACATGGACCATCTGTGAGGTTTTTTGAACTTAGGGATTAAACTTGATATTTTCGGAAACCACAGGGACCATTTTTGAAGTTTTGTCTAACATTTTTTTTATATCTCTGTCGCAGTTGTATGGTATACGAGTTATTGTTGGAATAGTGTCTAAGGCTATAACTATATCCGGTTGTGCATGGTCCTTTTGGGTTGCCTTCACCATAGCAACTTGAAGGATGATTTGTTAAGAGAGAGTAAATATTATAAGGAATAATATATGGCTATTTGATTAATATAAGTCATAAATTAATTGGTATTAATTTGGTGACTTAAAGAGATTAATTAAATAAGAGGGTATAAACTGTCAATTGTTTGATAGTTACACTTTAGACTGTAAATCCTTATCCTAGATAGGATGGACGATTTCTAGGGCTTGGATAAGCCAAAATCGTCCATAGGGTTATCTATGGAATGGATTTGGATAGCCTTAAGAGAAGATTATCCAATTAGGGTTTAGGTGGTAACCCTTAAGGAGTCTACAAGTATAAATAGACCCTAGGGGTGAGGGAATTCGACACACAACCTAAAGCAAGGAACCTCTGGCCGAATTCCTCCCCTCTCCTCTCTCCTAAATCATCTTGCTTGCTATTGGTGTTTGTAAGCCATTAGAGGAGTGACATTTGTGACTCTAGAAGCTCCAAGACAAACAAGATCAACAAGGAACTCAAAGGTATGATTCTAGATCTGTTTCATCATTGTTATTTAACCTAATTAGCTATTAGAAGTCTTGGATTCAAAGCATGTTTAATTAGAAAGCCTAGATCCAAGCAATAGGGTTTTGCATGCGCACATAGGAAAGTTCTTATGGCTAAAACCCATCAGTGGTATCAGAGCCTAGCTTGGTTTTCTTTAAATTGTTGCTTGATTAACTGAAACAAACCTGCAAAATTCGTTTTTTGGGTTTATGAGTCACTGACTCGGCGAGTTCCAAGGTGGACTCGGCGAGTAGGCCTGACTCGGCGAGTCCTCTTGTGCACTCGGCGAGTCCAGGCGTCAGGAATGGCCAGATTCGGGATTTTTTTCATAATTATCTTATGGAAACTTACCTTAATCATATTAGATCAATCTAAATCCGATTTTTTGATAAATATGACTATTATCTTGATCTAATTAAAGATATTTATCATCTAATAAAATATTTAATTTCCTTATATGATAATGATTAATTATTTTGATAATTATCTTGAAAGAAATCTTAGATAAATCAAATAAAGATAATTAGGATATTAATTGTTAATTGGAATTATTTGTTATTTGATCCTCCATGTTTTAAATGTTTAAAACCTACCCTAAAGTTTTGAAATTTATATTTGTGATTAAAAGTTTTAATTTAGACAACTTAAATTTCAAACCCTAGATTTTAAAAGGTTTTAAAATACAACCCTATACTTATATGATATTACTAGATATATATATATATATATATATATATATATATATGTATGTATAACTAAATGCTAGTCTTACCGCTACTAGGCCTCATTCACGAAGTCAATCTATAAGGTGGGTATAAGGTTGCGACCTATAAAATGGTGCTTAATGGGTGTACACTCACACCCACCGCTTGCTTGATTGGTGGAGGGTCGTTAGCCGAACGGGTAGGATAAGGCAACCTCATCCTCTCATTAAAAGTATAATAAGAAACACAAAGTAACTACACGTTTTAAAATTTTCCCAATCTTAGTTACTTTAGGAAAAGTGAATTGATGCAATCCCATGAAATTACACTTTGCACCTTGCTAAGAAGTTAGTGGAGCGTGTGTGGTTTACCGGCACACTAATTGGTTCTAAGCGAAGGTGGCAAAGGGTGATTCATTGTTTATCATAGTTCGATGGAGCGTGTGTGGTTTACCGGCACATCGAATAGGTGATCGTTACAATGAAGGCACCATGTGAATTTGCATGGTAATTCACACCCGCTTTGTGATCCTCGGCATCCCAGTCACAAACAAGAGGGGCATATCGAGATTTAAACATGCCATTGAATAGTTCAATGAATCTCATCCGAACCTAGGAATTCTCAAAAACACTTAGGACTAATAGTTTAAGTTTTGTAATGGAGAATTAGTGAATCGTCATTCACTTACCTTCAATTTATTTGCATATTAGATTACGGCATCCCTTTTCTAGTATGTAAATGTTATTGTTGGATCCTAGCCCTAATTTTTCTTATTGGGTGATAATTAGGGATTCTTATTCTAATCAATCTTTGTCCTTTCTATAGATGTCAAACGCAAACAACGCTGCTGCTAGTTCTTTCACGTTGATGAGCCTTTGCCAAAAGGTCACCTTCGATGGAACGAACTTTAGCGAATGGATAAGATACATTCGCACCATTGCTCGCTATGAGGATAAAGAGTATGTCCTCGATGAGAAGCTCGAGAAAATCAACCCCGAAGTTGCTACTCCCGCCGAAATCACCGCCTTTGAAACTCATGAGCGAGATGCAACGAAGTACATTGCATCATGATCGCCACCATGAACTCCGAATTCCAAAAGTCCTACGAGGACATGTATCCATACGAAATGCATCAAGACTTGTTGGAGAGGTACCACCAAAACGCGAGACAAGAGCGTTACGAGATTTTCACTAACATGATTTCCGCTAAGATGGTCATGGAGAATCTCTTACCGTGCACTTGCAAAAGATGCAAAGGTATGTCGACCGCCTTCGCAAGTTAAATGTTGACTTCGGCGAAGACTTGGCGATCGACATGGTGCTTCACTCTTTGCCTCCGATGTACAATCAATTTAGGATGACCTACCACATGAACAAAGAGGAGGTCACCCTAAGCAAACTCCAAGGTCTCTTGAGGGTCGCTGAGAGCAACTTCAAGGACAAGTCTGTTGCACCAACTCCCAATCCGTCCGCTGCTCCTGTCTTGGCTATTGGTCAAGGGAAGGGAAAGAAGAGGAAAGCTTCATCGAATAACTATCGCAAGGTGAAAGCCCGAGATGGTGCCTCTTCTAGTGGGACCAAAGTTGATCCCTCTAAGCCCTGCTCTAACCCGAAGGAGGCAGAGTGCCACCACTGCCACAAGATAGGACATTGGAAGAGAAGTTGCCCGGATTACCTGCAAGCGATCAAGGAAGGAAAGATCAAGCCATCTTTCGTAGGTATATACACAATCAAATCTAACGATTCTAATCATGCTATTTCTTGGGTCCTTGATACCTGTTGTGGTTATCACATTTGTTCTAATGTGCAGGGACTAAGAAGAAGTAGGGATGTGGAGCAAGGAAGGATCAATCTAATCATGGGGAACAGAAGATCGTCGCCTGTGACCAAGATTGGAGTAGTGCTTAGGAATAGTTTAGTTTTAGATTTGAACAATTGTTGCTATTCACCAGAAATGGCTAGAAACATCATTTCATTTCATGGTTTATATAGACAAGGATTTAGATTTTCTTTTAATAATGAGAATGGTTCTATTTTGGCTTATCTAAATGGTGTCTTTTACTTTGAAGCTATACCATGTAATGGAATATATGAAACTGTTATGATTGTTGATAACTTAGGAAATGATGTTTTGAATATTGATTCTTCCACTAGTATGGATAAAGCATCCTTGTGGCATTGTCGTCTTGGACATGTCAACAAGAAACGCATAGCCCAACTCCAAAAGGATGGAGTGTTGGAGTCATTCGACCTTAGGGAAGATGACACATGCGAGTCTTGTTTACTTGGAAAGATGACTAAGTCACCCTTCACGAGTACTTGTGAAAGGGGTGAGGGGCTATTGGACCTAATACATACCGATGTATGTGGACCCTTTAGATCAACCACGAAGGATGGGAACCGCTTCTATGTGACTTTTACCGATGACTATAGTAGATATGGGTATATCTACTTAATCAAGCAAAAGTCAGAAACTTTTGAAAAGTTCAAAGAGTTCAAGAATGAAGTGGAGAATCAATTGGGCAGGAAAATCAAGATGCTTCGATCCGATCGAGGAGGAGAGTACCTAAGTCTTGAATTCCACGATTATCTCAAGGAGTGTGGAATAGTTTCGCAATTGACGCCTCCTAGGACACCGCAGTTGAATGGTGTGGCAGAAAGGCGTAATCGAACCTTATTGGATATGGTTCGCTCTATGATGAGTCGTGCTTCACTACCTATCTTCTTTTGGGGGTATGCCTTAGAGACTGCCGCCCATATCCTTAACCGAGTCCCAACTAAGAAGGTTGCCAAAACACCTCACGAGATGTGGACAGGGAAAGCTCCCTCGTTGGCACATATCAAGGTTTGGGGTTGCGAGGCTTTCGTAAGACGAGATACTCACGACAAGCTTGAACCTCGAAGTGAGCGATGTATTTTCATCGGCTACCCGCAAACTTCCTTTGGATATCTCTTCTATAGACCGAAAGACAATGTTGTTTTTGTTGCGAGGAGAGGAGTTTTCCGAGAGCGAGAACTCATAAGCCAAGGAGACAGTGGGAGGCAAATCGAACTTGAAGAGATTCAAGAGTCGATAGATGAAGGAACCTCTACCGC